GTGGTCGACACTTTGAAGAATAACACGTTCAACTTGAGAAAAGAAATAAACCGATGTGTTTTAACAATCTAATTGTTCCTTCCCATTTTTTTATGCGAAATAGGCGACCATTGTTCATATCCAAAGAAACCTATCCTCTATAGTTAAACAAATAAGTGTTTTGTGGTCGACACTTCGAAGAATAACACGTTCAACTTGAAAGAAAAATAAACCGATGTGTTTTAACAATTGAATTGTTCCTTTCTCTTTCTTTATGCAAAATAAGCGACCATTGTCCATATCCAAAGAAACCTATCCTATATAGTTAACAAATAAGCGTCTTGTGGTCGACACTTCAAAGAATAACATGTTCAACTTGAAAAGAGAAATAAACCGATGTGTTATAACAATCGAATTGTTCCTTTCCATTACTTTATGCGAAATAGGCGACCATTGTTTATATCCAAACAAACCTATCTTCTATAGTTAACAAATAAGCTTCTTGTGGTCGACACTTCGAAGAATAACACGTTCAAATTGAAAACAGAAATATACCGATGTGTTTTAACAATCGAATTGCTCCTTTCCATTTTTTATGCAAAATAAGCGACCATTATCCATATCCAAAGAAACCTATCCTCTATAGTTAACAAACAAGCGTCTTGTGGTCGACACTTAGCCCACGTTAGGTGCATCGGCCGACCTCAAAGAAAAGTATTGATTTTCATTTGCAACCCTTGTTGCACGAAGAACGCGGCCGTTTACTCGGTATACGAATGACTTCACCTGGATTTATCCAAGACAACGACCTCTCGCCTTAACACGCCATCTTCGTCGTTTCAATTCCCTGGCCGAGTATTAACTTTGCTCGAATTCACCCAAGACAATGTCCCCTCGTTTTAACCTTTCGAGCGCTGTCGACGCATATGTGCGTCCGACGTTTGGCCCAATATCGCGCGCACGGTCTAAGGAAATTCGCCCGTATGTCGAAAGTGCTTAGCGCTCAAAGGGTTAAGGTGACATGTAAATGGCGTTAAAAAGTTTCCCGGTCATGAAACTCTTCTCGAAACTGGGTATACCGAATCGATTCGAACATTACTATATAAGACCGAAGGCTATAAGTTGCTTTAATTGCTTTTTATACCTCCGTGTAAAAATCCACTTAGACCTATTTATGTATACCCTCGCGGAGATAGGTCAATTAATCTTCAAAGTGATTTCTTATCACTCGGGGAAACCCCTCGAAAAATTCCCTGGTTTATAGGTTCACCCATTCATTGCCAGCTACGAGATATCTTATAGTATGCCTATATGTATTAACACATTAAATACCGGATGGGTATTAATACCTTCGCGAGTAATAGAGCGCACTAAACCCCCGTATCTAATGTATTATGATAACCTCCTAATTTTCATGCCAATGGGTTAATGGCGATTTCAACGCCTTTCCAGCACGCACCCGAAGACCGCCTATATTCGTTTATACTCTGATAGCAATAAGTTAATTAATCTTCAATGTGATGTCTTATCAATCGCCCTAACCTTTCGGGGAAACCCCTCCAAAAATTGCCTGCTTATAGGTTAATTACGACCTCAACGCCTTTCCAGCACTCACCCGAACACCGTCTATATTCGTTTATACTTTGACAGCAATAAGTTAATTAATCTTCAAAATGATGACTTATCAATCGCCCTAACCTTTCGGGGAAACCCCTCCAAAAATTGCCTGCTTATAGGTTAATTACGACCTCAACGCCTTTCCAGCACACACCCGAAAATCGTCCATATTCGTATATACTCTAAGCGCAACAAGTAAATTAATCTTGAAAGTGATGTCTTATCAATCGCCCTAACTTATCGTGGAAATACCTCCAAAAATTGCCTGCTTATAGGTTAATTACGACCTCAACGCCTTTCCAGCACGCACTCGAAGACCATCTATATTCATTTACACCCTGGCTAAGTTGATTAATCTTCAAAATGATGTCTTATCAATCGCCCTAACCTTTTGAGGAAACCCTCGAAAAATTGCCTGGTTATAGGTTAATGGTGCCTTCTACACGATTTCCAGCACGCACCCGAAGACCGCCTATCATGTACACCCTGGCAGAGATAAGTTAATTAATCTTCAATGTGATGTCTTATCAACCACCCTAATCTTCCGGGGAAACCCCTCGAAAAATGGGCTGCTTATAGGTTAATGACAACCTCAACGCCTTTCCAGCACGCACCCGAAAATCGTCTATATTCGTGTATACTCTGACCGCAATAAATCAATTAATCTTCAAAGTGATGTCTTATCAATCGCCCTAACCTATCGGGGAAATCCTCGAAAAATGGCCTGGTTATAGGTTAATGGCGCATTTGACGTAACTTCCAGCACGCACCCGAAGACCGTCTATATTCGCGTATAGTCTGACCGCAACAAGTCAATTAATCCTCAAAATGAAGTCTTATCAATCGCCCTAACCTATCGGAGAAATCCCTCGAAAAATTGCCTGGTTATAGGTTAATGGCGACCTCAACGCCTTTCCAGCACGCACCCGAAAATCGTCCATATTCGTATATACTCTGACCGCAACAAGTCAATTAATCTTGAAAGTGATGTCTTATCAATCGCCCTAACTTATCGTGGAAATCCCTCCAAAAATTGCCTGGTTATAGGTTAATAGCTTCCCCAACGCCTTTCCAGCACGTACCCGAAAATCGTCCATATTCGTATATACTCTGACCGCAATAAGTCAATTAATCTTCAAAGTGATGTCTTATCAATCCCCCTAACCTATCGGAGAAATCCCTCGAAAAATTTCCTGGTTATAGGTTAATGAAGACCTCAACGCCTTTCCATCACGCACCCGAAAATCGTCCATATTCGTATATACTCTGACCGCAATAAGTAAATTAATCTTCAAAGTGATGTCTTATCAATCGCCCTAACCTATCGGAGAAATCCCTCGAAAAATGTCCTGGTTATAGGTTAATGAAGACCTCAACGCCTTTCCATCACGCACCCGAAAATCGTCCATATTCGTATATACTCTGACCGCAATAAGTCAATTAATCTTCAAAATGTCTTATCAATCGCCCTAACCTATCGGGGAAATCCTTGAAGAATGGTCTGCTTATAGGTTAATGGCGCCTTTGACGTCACGTCCAGCACGCACCCGAAGACCGTCTACCATGGTGGCAGCGGTCCATCTCGCTGTCTCTCTTCTACGGTCAAGTTTACCTGATTCACCTGTACGATCCAGCAAGCAAACCCAGACCGCCTTGAGCCTACAGGTCGGTCCGTCCTTCTTGGACTGCCGCCTTTCGGCGCGCTGCGCGCGCATCTTTCGTACACCTCCGCGCCCCCGCGCCTCCAGTAGCCGCATCTTCGCGATGCGTTATATGCCCACATGTACTCGGAGAGAAATCAGGTTTACCTGTACCTATGTATCCGCAGTACAGAGTACCGGGGTCTAGAAAAAATTCGGCATTCCTGTCTTCGAACCTTTTTATAAACCCGGACTTTTTTTTATATACACGAGAGAGGGAAAATATGTTAAAAAAATGTGCATCGCTGGTTTTGTACGAGGTACCTATTATAGAATTCTTACGCGCTATGTATGCATAAATGTACACCGGGGAAATTCAGGTTTATCTGTACTTATATGAACACGCGGTTTAAGATACCGAAGTCTGGGAAAAATTTGGTATTCCCGTCTTTGAACCTTTTTATAAACCCGGATTTTTTTATTTACACGACAGAGGGAAAACGTGTTTAAAAAAAAAAATACAATTGGTGGTTTTGTACGAGATACCTATTATAGAATTTTTATCCACTATTTATAGCGTATACATGTTCATGGGGAAAATTCAAGTTTATCTGTACTTATATGAATCCGCGGATACCGAGGTCTAGGAAAAATTCGGCATTCCTGTCTTCGAACCTTTTTATAAACCCGGACTTTTTTTTATACACACCAGAGGGGGGAAATATGTTTAAAAAAACCTGCATTGGTGGTTTTGTACGAGGTACCTATTATAGAATTCTTACGCGCTATGTATGCATACATGTACACCGGGGAAATTCAGAGAAATTGAGGTTCAGAGAAAAGTGTTATGAATATTTGTACGTTTCGATATAGTTTTTTTTTTTTAATTAAATTTCACGAGCATCGCGTTCTTCCTTAGGGCCTCCATAACCTCCTGATGAAATTTCAAACGATTCGGTGCACCCAATTTGGAGAAAAGTTCTAACATACACGGAGAAAATCTCGTATATTACATGAGGTATTATACGTTGCGATATACGCGGAGAAAACCACGTGTATTAGATTACGTGTTATATGTTGTAATACACGTGGAGAAAACCACGTATACATGCGATATACGCATATACGCGGAGAAAACCACGTATATTAGATGACGTATTATATGTTGCAATACACGTGGAGAAAACCACGTGTTACTTGACATTATACGTACATTATGTATATTGTCATTATACGTAAATTACATGACATATTATACGTTGCGATATACGCGGAGAAAACCAGGTATTTTACATGACGCATTATACGTTGCAATATACGCAAAAAAACACGTATATTACATGACGTATTATATATTGCAGTATACGCAGAGAAAACCACGTGTTACTTGACATTATACGTACATTATGTATATTGTCATTATACGTAAATTACATGACATATTATACGTTGCAATATACGCAAAAAAAAGCACGTATAGTACATAACGTATTATATATTGCAATATACGCGGAGAAAAGCACGTGTATTATATGACATATTATACGTTTTAATATACGCGGAGAAAACCACGTGTATTACATGACATATTATACGTTCTAATATACGCGGAGAAAACCACGTGTATCATATGACATATACGTTCTAATACACGTGGAGAAAAGCACGTGTATTACATGACATATACCTACCCAATCCTTATTTTCGACGAATAAAATTCTCGTTACGGCCATGAATTCTTTTTCTACGTTCAGGGTGACTTACCATTTCGGATGGAGTAGTCCCACTCGTTTCTGCCGGCCATCTCGGGGGGCTCCTATCGGAAATTGAGGTCCGAGAAGTTGAGATCCGAGTACAAGCCGCTCCCGCTCGTCTTGCCTGCTTCTTCTCTAGGACTCGTGAAGTGACCTCTCTCGACGGACTTCTGGCGTGCCCGTAAAGTCAATTGCTCGCGGCAGTCGAACGTTTTTCCTGACCCCGCGGGACGACGGAGAAAATCTCTAGCTATGAGCGCCGAGAGACACCGGAGTGAGATCGTTCACACGGACGGAGGTGAAAATGCGAGACGCGGAGCAAAGAATGCGAAGTGTCCCGCGCGACGGAGTGCACGTGTACTGGGCGCCGATCGCGTTCGACGGGGTACAGGACCGGCCGGTAAGTACCACGGTTTTATAAACCGCCTGATCATGTGACCGCGACTCCAGCGCCACCGCGCATGCGCCGGTAAATATTTACACGTGCGCCGCGCCCTCTACTTCGTTACGGGACGCAGGCACTTCGGACACGTGGTCGCGGACCTTCCGAACTTCCTGTCCATTCCTGTAGCGACGAGTCGACGAGTGGCGACCGCTGGAACCAATTTTTTATGGATATTAGATATTTAGGTTAAGTGGTGGAATAAGGCAGGGTGAAGCAAATCTCTTGATTTGGATGGGACATTTTTTTTAACGGTATTCGACCGAACTGTCTTAAATTTTGGGACTTGTCCGGTGATGTACTTGATGGCAGTACACTGGTGGACATAAATGCCTTCCTTGCAGATATGATGATGCGAATGAATAATGGGAAGGCATTCATGTCCACAAGTGTACGTACTCCTACTATCCCTACAGATGCATTGAAAAAATAGATTAGTGACCGAAACAAATATTTATCGTTGATATGTATTCTTGCCTGAATCATGTATAATTGCAAGAAACAATGATTTTGTGGAGAAGAAAAATGATGTCGCTAATTTAAAATAATCGAATAAATCACATAAACTTTGATCGTAAGCTGACGATCCAGGTAGAAAAACAGTAAAGCAGGTACCGGGATTTTCTAAATTTTCTCAAACTTCATGTTTTTTATTGAGAACAAATTGCCTTATCAAATATAAAAAAGAAAATTTATTCAAAGTGCAGGATAATTTTGTTTGCATTCGACTATTACAGAAATTAACATTAATTACATCACTTCGCCATTTATAACACCAATGAATGAAACAAAATACTCGTGATTTATTCGTAACGATATATCGAAGGTAAAAACGTTATTCTAGCGGCGTTTACAATTTACAACTCAGAGATTTCATCCATACGTTTGATAACCTTTTTATATTCCTCTTCCAAAGTGCGATATTCCTTTTCAAGGGTCTGTAGTCGTTGTTCCGGTGCAGGTAGCGCAACGTTGGAGTATTTATCGAGCATTTTCAAAACTGACTCCATTTTCTTAAGATCCTGCTGCTCTCGTTTATATGGAATATTAAGTCTTTTCTTCACATCTAATCTATATTCTCTATACTCCTGTTCATTCGAGAGATCGGTTGCACGCAACCTCAAAATTTCGTACACACGACGAGCTTGTTTCTAAATTAATGTTTATTTATTAGTCACTAATTCGTTACCGAATGTTAAATTCTATTTAAGGTGCATTACAAGTTCCATGAATCGATGAAAGTATTTTAATAACATAGAAGCAAGAATTTACCTTGTTAATTTTAAACTTTTCCCTAGCTTCGGCTGCCATAGTTTTATTAAAGCCTTGGACTAAACATTCTCGGCTGAAACTCGGCAATGTATCACAATTGAGAGCATCGACATAGTCTCTTAATCGTTGAAACCCTACAGATGGGTCTTCAACTATAAAATAATAATTACAATGTTAATTAATATATGTATTGTTTAAAGCTAATTGGAAACGTAAAGTATATCAATGTTCATAATGTAGAGAATTAAAATTACCCGTTATGTCTTTCACCTCACTTCTGCCAATGTATTCATGATAAATCGCCCGCAAAAGGTGAGTACCAAGACCCAGATTTTGGAATGGTGGCAAAATTAAAACTTGTGCGATACGTGGTCTGGTGTGACGTGGATAGGCATAATACTGATACACGGTAGCGAAACCAATGGTAGCATATCGAGTTGACCCAGTGTTGGAAGTATATTTCTCAAACCTATAACAGAGAATACATTTAAAATAAGCTTTCAGAATATTTACCACTTATACGGTAATGTATTACACATTTTTGTTATACACTATTTAAATATATCAGATTACATCATTATAAAAGGTTAATAAATTCCCATACATGTTGAAGTAATGCCATTGGTCATCATCGATGTCAATAAAGTTGGCTGCATCTATATACCACAAAAGGAATGTTTGAAGGCGTTGGTGGTATTCTCTGAATCCTTTACAATTCATGTTCCCTTTATAAACCTCGAACTGACGTATATTGTCGTCGGCTGTTAAAATAATGACATAATGAAATAAGTATTTCTATTCTGATAATGTAATTAATATGCATATTGTTAACACATGATTTATATGGAAATAAAAATCTAATTAAGTAGGTAAAACTTATTATATTAGTAATATGTATCACATACCATTTATGGAAAAAGAATGCAACAACTCTCCGTATGGCCTAAATGTTTCTTCCTTATGCAACGATGAAATGAACGAATCGAGACTGTTATGCACTTGAGGTACGAGGAATTCTGAAATCTTCTGTAAAACTTCATCAGCTTCGACACCTTCGTATATTGATTTATTTACTTTCTCAGCGTATGACATTCCTAAGTAAGTCTCCAGCGAACCAGCTGAGTAATAAAGTTTTACCTTTAAATCACGGTAACCAAATATCGATTCACTGTAAATAAGAATCATTTGATATAAATTAATCAGAAACATAAAGTAACTTCTGCCAGAAGCAACTGTCACTTACCTGGTTCCAAACACTTGATGCGACATTTCTGGCTTAAAGCTAGTTTTATCATCTTCCAAATCTTCAACGTTACGAACTAATTTGAATTCTAATGCGTCGTTACTATTAACAATTAAAACTTTGAAACGAGCTGTAATTGCATCCTCCATTTTGCTGTAAAAAAAATTAAATATTAGTCAAAATCTAACGATCGAAACCTAATTGTTTAAAATAATACTATCCAAAAAGGACAACTTAGCAATACTGACACAATATAAAATTGAATGATTATGTTATCATGAGGAATTATTAATGAAAAAGGATTATACTTCGTTAAATGAACATATCAGTCACTGTTTTTCAGTTAATATACATACATGAGAAAAACTAATTCAATGAAATGGGTTTCACTGCCTATACAATAAATACATAGGTTAGGTTACTAACAATATTAAATATTTCTTCATTATGGCATCCACGAAGAATGACAAGTAACATTATTCAGCTCCTAGTCAATATACTCGTATCATAAATATTCAAAATTTTAATAAAACATACATACCTAAAAATGCGACTCGCGTTACAGATAGTGCAGCAAAAGGTTATAAATAATTTGCAAGATGTCTGGTTTATTTTACTGTTTACTTGACTCTATTGTTTACCCGTTCAACCTCGCAAGACCTAAGCATTTATTAAATCTGAAAAACAAAAACTATAAAATATTATAAAACTGTCTTCACCTTCGCGCCAAAGGTTAACGTTACATTTCCTCACGGATTAAATTGTCTTCTATAGAACAACAACGCATAGGAATAAAATCTTAAAGCTGATTTTCAACGTTTGAACGAAGAGAGGAAGAGAATTACGTTTACACATGCTCTCCTATACTGGTTTTATAACTATCGGTGTTAAGATTCGTCTAAACGTCGTTTTATGCCGGCGTTACCGGTAAAACCGGAGTAAAGTAGCGTTTACACTATACTTAACAACAGCAGTTATAAAACTGATTAATGCAATACGAGTTATTATATTATAAAACATGTACATACAGAGATGAGTTGGGAGATTGCTCACGGGCAGGGTCGCGCGATCGCACCGTGTGCTGCCCTCTGATTTCGTACGTTAGCTTTCACCGTTTTTTGCCCCCAAGGGCGGCGCAACGAATTTCTGGTAGGAGCTCGCGCAATCGCGATGGCTGTGCCATCTACCAGTTGCCGTTGACGGCTCACGTATTCGTGATGGTAATACCATGCGGCAGTTGACGGTGGTGGCTTACCATTATGGCAATCTCCTAACTCATCTCTGCCAAATCAGAGATGAGTTGAGAGATTCACGGGAAGGATCGAGCGACCGCGTCCTGTTCGACCTCCGGTGGAGGATGCAGACGGCTAATGCACTTGCCACCTGTTACAAATCTGGGCAGCCGGAGAACCGGCTGAAAAAGTGAAGAACTCCTCACAAAAACTCCAAAACCCTGTATCTCCTCCGAAAAAAATCACAGCCACTAGCTCGAGAGATCAATTTAAACCGAACAATCTTCCCCATCAAGCTACAGTGGACGCAATTCGCATCGCGAAAAAAATTCACAAACATCATTTAACATATTTGAACATCTTCTACTAACAAGTGCAGCAAACTCGATTTCGATTAACTGCCCATGATGATTTTACCAAAAATGGCTGCTTCCAGGTGATCCACCTAAACCTGCAAAGGGGCACAAAAGTACAGGTAAAACGGAACATTGAAGAAACACCAGTAAGTCGCCAGATTCTCCGAAGTGGCCCATCTAAAGCTGAAAGGGAACACGGAGGCACAAACGAAACCATTGGAAAGCGAGAAAGAGACGGTGATACAAGTGCTAATAACTTACTAAAGTTACCATTAAAGTCAAGAATATTTCGCAGTGCATCGATCTCGTATAAATGATCCAGTAAAAATGTATTCAATTATACATTATTTGGCGTGATAAAAATCTAATATATTTATCATACTTAAATGCAGACTCGAGAAAATCTCATGGAAACGATAGTTCACCGTCTCTCCCCGTCAATCCGGACAGAAGAATATACAAAAAATGAGAGGGACAACGTGGCGAAAAAAAAATGAATGACTGTCCATTCGAAAGAATGGAAGGCCATCGTAGTTGCCCTCTTCTTAAGGGGCCGCTTCGGCATATAGCCTCTTCGACTCTTGCAGTCTCTTCGGGCAGAGCCCCCTACGTCTCGAACGCTTGGCAATCCCCTGATTTATCGGATTAATAAAAAAAAAAAAAATCACTCGCGGGGAGATCTAAAAGCTAGCAAAACGGCGACCTGCGATCCGAGGATGCGCAGTCCGTGCGTATTGCACATTTACCCGGATTCCCAAGCGCGATCTAATTAATTTGGATCTCTGAAAGAAAATTAACATAATCGCGGGCGTCCAGGAGTACCCTGAGAAAATAATTTACTTTCCATACTTAAATTAATTATTCGCGGCAAGAATAAGAGGGACAACCCGTTAATATCGGACGAAAGTGATTTCCCGAAAACAATTTGACGTTTAAGGTCGGTCGGAAAATTTTCGGAATATTGGTAAAAAATCTATCGCAAGAATTCTATTTTCTGGAAAGTTATTTTTTCTCTCAGCGCAGAGCCGCGGGCGCAGGACGGACATCCTCCGCCCTTCCGGAAGCGCGAACGATGATGTAAAGGTATCCCAGGTTCGGGATCTTCCCCCATACCCCCGGGAAGAGATCCCGCCCTGGCCCTGCCTGCTTACATTTAGACATTCATTCAAGGCAATTAACCTACCTCCCTAGCTATATTTAAAAAAATCAACCTCACTCATTCCAACACATTCACTCCACGATTCTCACTCATTCCACCCGGGGACAAGTAGCCTAATCTAGGGAGGACATCCCGGGATGCCTCCGACCCCCGAGCTCAAATCTCTCACATGTATCATTCATCGATCGCCATCGTTACTTGAATTTAAACAAATTGAATGGATGCGTGAAATTGAAATCAAGATGGCAACCGAAGGTGCTTACATAATTTTTTTTACCACGTCCTCTGGCCCTGAACCGTTCGACTCCTCCTGGAGGCGTCGAAGGGCGGGGGCCAGGACGGAACGCGGCCAGAAGAAGGGACACCTACCTTTGACGCCGCTGAAAGAATCCTAGCTAGGTTAATTTTCATAACGCTAAATCGAGCTACCGACTCTACTCGACTTTGATCGTTCACAATTTCAATAAAATCGAAAGGCCAAGCCCAGCTCGCACTACGGCCCCAGGGCAATGGAAGGCTTGGCCGAAAAAACCTGGAATCCCTGAAGTTGACTCCTTCATCGAGGCGGCGACTCTAAAGCGCAGGCACATCGAAGTGCCACCTCGATTCGAATTCAACTCCTCGCGAGTCACTTCTCCCAAATCTTTTTTTTATTTTTTTTATTCAATTATTCGTAGAAATTCCG